AGACAACACTGACTAGAATTTCGGCAAAAGAAGTTGGACAGGGAGTTATATATGTTGATATTCCTGCAAATATCATGCAATTGGGCGAAGCGATTGGAAAAGCCATTAACTTTTCATTTGAGGAGGATATCTCTTTCACGGCACAGCTATTACGGAAAATCTTGGGCGATACTAGTAGTGAGTTTATTACTGCTTTGTTTTTAACAACAACATATTTTTAACACTGATTCTCTTTTACAGAGAAAATCGATTATCCCGAGTGGGTGAGAGCTTTGGATGCCTTTAAGCATGCTTCCATAATATACAAAAAGAAGTACGGAAAACCACCAATTATTGTTTATGATAATATCAGCCAACTAGTTTACAAGAATCCGGAAATCCTTGATATCCTTCAGGATGATGCCAAGAATAATGCCGATGACAGAAAATACATCGCCGTGTTTGTCAGCAGTGAAGGAAGTGTTCCCCGAAGAATGGAATGTAAGTATTTGACAATGTTTTTTGGTGCTCTCGAAAAAATTGTATTATTTACAGATTGTGATTCTTATTTCTAGCACGTAATTCTTGGTCACGTGCAAAGAAACCAGTAATGGAAATTGGTGATCTCAGCGAGAAGGAATCAATGGATTATCTGGTCAACAAGCGCAAAATTAGCTCTTCAGAAGCAAATAAAATCTATGAATTAGTTGGTGGTCGTATCGTAGAGCTGAAGACTGTGGCGGATGATTTCCTGGCTGGACAGTCCTTAAAAGGTAATATTGATTTTATATTTTGTGTCAATCGAATTTATATAGTTTTGCTTTGGATTAATTGCTTAACTCTTTTTCTGTAGTCATTAAACAGCAAATATTAAGAGAAGTCGAGAAAAAATTCCAATCTGCACAACTCCTCCGAAAACAATCACATCATGAAGTAGGGAAGCACATCATCAGTGCTTTATTGGATTCTAAGGAGCTTAGCTTTACAGCGTTTATGGAATTTTTCAATAAGTACGAAGATGCCAACGAAGTCTTGGAGACCAATGTATTTGCATATCACCCAGAGAAAAACGCCGTCACATTTCAGTCTCAATCGGTAGAATACTATCTTCGGGAAAATACTAATATATTCATCAAATAAGGTCATGGTTTACATTTTTAAAGAAAATATAGAAGTTTACATGTATACTTGATGTCACTAATGCATAATAAAGCCTTTTGTCGCTAATTAAAAGGTCCGCGATGGTATAAACTTTATGATTTTTTAATACAATCGAGTAGCGAGCTTGGTATTCACTTACACCCCTACATGAATCAATGATCTGATTTAGAAGAATTGTTGCACATTGGGATTTTGTTTTTTTGTAAAAAAACAATGGCTTCTATCGTTACAATTCTTATTTTTCCGATATATATGCCACACCCAACACCACACTCAAATACATGCATACACTGGTTAAAAAGATAAAGTCCGAAATGTGGGGCAAACTTTATTCTATGCCTCCACTACTATGCTTTTATCCGGGAATTTAAGGGTATTGTTCCAAGGGATAGGTGATGTGAAGCATTGAGTCTTTAACTCCTGAATCAGTTCTGAATTTTCAGGATAAGCTTCTAATACCTTGATGAGAGGAATCCATGGATCTTTTAAATTTTCGCAATACAAATAATAAGTTTTACTACTTTGCTTATCGATCCACCACTTACCTCGCAAACTCATATGTTTTTCCCTACATAGTGGACAATGTAAACCAAGAACCCAATATGCATCAGATTGATGTCCATCTTCCTTATTTATGTTAAAATTGAATGTTTCAATACTTTGATATAATACATCATTATACACAAGATATGTCTCGAAAATCTAAGAATAACAGACGCAGAACTAAAGCTAGATTTACTACGAATCCTATGCAATATTTACAATTTCAAAACTGGGATAAATATGATCACATTATTCATATTATTCATGAAGGTCATATAATTGTCATAAATAAGAAAACACAAGATGTAAAAAGGAGGTATTTGATTATGAGGAGGTATGTAGGTAAATAATATCGGTTCGAATAGGTAAAGGCCCAGAGTCTATGACTCATATTCTCGATGGTATGGCAAATAGAAATAGCTCGCTTTTTATCAACGAAATAAAAATGACCATTTATTAACAAAATATAAAAATACAACCAAAATCCTTCTTACCTTAAGATGATTTTTTTGTTGATTTAACTGTTTTCCTTTTTTTCTTTTGTGGTGGTGGTGATTCAACAGTAGACACTGTTGAAGTTTCCGAAAATATTGACATATTCGATGATTGTGACATAATTGACATCGTTTCTGTAGAGTCGTCAGTAGTATGCAATATTTTGCGTATCGTACATGCAATCGCCGGTCGCGTTTACTTCGTCGAAAATTATTTCGTTGACAATCATTTCGTCGACACCCATTTCGTCGAAAGTTCGTTTGATCGAAAGTTCGTTTCGTCGAATGTTCATTTTGTCGAAAGTTTGTTTCATCGAATGTTCATTTCGTCGAAAATTATTTCATCCTCGAGCCAGAGACCGAACGAGTTAGGTGTGAGGAGTGTGGAAAGTTAGTTAAGAAATTAGGTGAGGAAAGCAGAGTGTGTGGGAAGTGCGAGGAGAAATTTGTTTAATGAAGTTTTTTTTTTGTGATGAAATAATTTTCGACAAAATGAACATTCGACGAAATGAACATTCGACGAAGTGAACTTTCGATGAAACAAACTTTCGACGGAATGGGTGTCGACGAAATGACTGTCGACGAAATGATTGTCGACGAAATGAATCAGACCCTGCTTAAAAAATAAAAAAAATAAAAAAAAAAACCAAAAAGGTAAGGAAAGATCAAATTTTTTTTTAACATCAGATGAACGAATAGTGAAAAATAATTAGATTTAGTAAAATAATAAATAATATATATATAAATTAATTATTAACGATATGTATAACGTCAATCATTTCAAAGAGTAAAAAAAAGAAACATCTCAAAAAAATTGTGTTTAGTAAAAATTGATTTTTTTATCAGCTATCCCAAGGAAGAAAAAAAAGCAGTGTTACGGTTTTGAGCAATCTTTTATAAGTGTTAGCCACGTGAAATAACCTTACATATTTTGTGTCATGTGTTTATATAAGGTGATCATCACAAAATTTAACCAATAATAGTTTTTTTTTACGTGTTTGTTGTTAATAATAATAATCATGGATTCTCAAAAACCAAAACTTTTTGATACACAACGTAGATTTACTTTAGCTAGCCTAAATACAAATTCTAGAATTACTTCAGGAATACCGCGTTCCTTATCTATTCGAGGTCAAGCACCGCCATCACAATATGGTGCTTCTTTAGGCGGAAATAATATAAGAAATTCAAGCATAGCAAGGTAGGTAGTGTAGTATACATGTTAATAATAATAAAAAATAACATTGTCGATTATATGATGAATTAATAAGTAAAATGCTCCCTCCAAAAAATTTTAAAGACGTGCTACATTTGCTGGAAACTTTAAAGATCCACGTCCATTGCGCGATAAACAATATCAGGCTGAATCTATACAAGTTATTATATTATATTTAAAAAAATCAAGATATCCAGGCTCAATTGATGAAAGGAAATTGCAAGTTCCAACAGTAAAAGATTATCATAACATCTTTAGATTTTTATATAAAAAATTGGAAAATAAAGATATTCCAAAAATTGAAGAAATTTCAACAATCCTAAAAGAAATAAAGTATAGTATTTTATTATTATGTTTATCATCACAGTGTTATTATTATTAAGATTTAAATATATTTTATGGTGTATGTGCATGCGTTTATTACAGGTATCCTCATGCTAACGATGTTAGTAAGTCTGCATTACAAGCTGTTGGAAACGTACATACCTGGCCAGCACTTTTAGGTAATTTATAATAAAATAAAATATATATGTGTGTGTGTGTGTGTGTGTGTGTGATTATTTATATATATCTATTTATTTATCTAAAGGTGCATTGAGGTGGATGGTCGAATTTTTAATGGTAAAAAAAAAAGCAAATACAATTATAAAATTATAAAATCATAATTATAATTATTATTAATTATGAATTTATAAAATTAGACTATTGAAAATCTTG